TTCGAAAGCAAAAGCTCCTATCATCTGAGTGAAAGGACACTCTCCATTATCTGTTAGCTGTGTAAAACACACGGTCAGGCAGTTTCAGTCCCAACCAGTAGTGGGGCAGTAGGACACATGCACAGGGATCCTCCTTCCCTGAGTCCCAATCACCTGTTTTCTACCAAACTGAAAATCATAGTGTAGGTGAATATGATGTATTGAAGGGTGAATGGGTTGCTGGTATGTGTGCAGACAGATGAGAGGTGTGGATGTGTCTGTGGGATATGGACAGTAGGGCTGCCAGTGTTCCAGGTTTTCCCAGGATCGTCCCTTTTCTGAGGTAGCTGTCCTGGGAAATCTGGTCAGTGGTCAGGGTAAGGGTGGTCAGTACACACTGCCAGCTGTCCAACTTTATGGGCTCACAAACATCCTGGACATGCTGGGTTTTCATACCTCAGGGGTGGCAACCCTAGTGGATAGGAATGTGAGTTTGAGATCCTCACCTTGAAAAATGTGGTAGGATCTTGTTCTTGCAATCTGGCCTCTCCTTCAGAAACGGCCTCCTGCACAGAGTTCAGTTCTGCTCTGATGCTGCTCAGATTTACCACCTTGTCTCTGAGGAAGGCCTCGTCCTCCTGTCTCAGTTGTCAGAGGGACACCTGTTCTCTCTCCCTCAATAACTGGTGGAGTTTGGCAGACTCACAGATGACCTGCTGGAGGTTCATCGCAACTGAGTCCTGGGAGATGGCAAAACAGACTGAAAACACCTGTTTATTTCACACCGTGAAAACAAATAATGCAAAAGTCACAATTTTCTAATAGATTATTTTACACACACCATACTTTCTGTTGCTTAGCTGAAGAAACAGACTCAAGGTTTCTTCTGATTTTATAAAATCGTATTCATTACCCATGATAATAATAAAAAGGGTAGCTCAGAATTGCCAGCTCTTCTGACTTTATTGAAAGTCTCATTTTTTTGTTTGTTTGTTTTTAATATTTCTCATGCTCTCCCATTTCCTGGCATCAGAAGTGCAAATTGCAAACATTTCCCTTATCCCACCATTCCCCATGCTTACAATGGGGCTAAAGCTATAGGCTAGGGTAACCAGATGCTCCGATATTATCAGGACCATCCCAATATAGGGGGCTTTGTTTATACAGGCTACCTATTACCCTCCCCCAATACACCTCCGTCATGATTTTTCACACTTGCTATGTGGTCACCCTACTACAGGCTGACCTTAGTAAAGATGACCACCATGTCATTCCAGTCTTTGTATTTATATGTGAGTCTGCCCCTGCTAAACATGGCTGTCTTCTGTTGTTTCTAGTGGTACATCCCAGGCTGCCCTCAGGAAAAATGGCCACCTCATGGGTCCTTGCTGGTTAATAGATAGAAAATGGTAGAGACAGGGAATGTAGGGGCAGTAGTTTCATAAAGTTTAAGGCCAAAAGGGACCATCTGATCATCTAGTCTGACTTCCTGTAAATTCACAAGCCATTGCATTTCCCCCAGATACCTCTATGTTGAGCTCAATTACTTTAGTTAGATTAAAGAATTTTAGTCCTTGGCAGAGTGAGGAGGGTGTGGTGTCAGAGAAAGAAGGTAAGAGTTGGTGTAAACAGAAAATAAAGATAGTCTTTAGTTGTGTTCATCCCAAGCATGGTGTGCTGGGTGGGGTCTCTGTAATCTCTACAGGTGTGACAGAGGAATTTGTGTTACAGAAGGAGACTGAGGAGGATGGGAATATGGGGTATAAGAGGAAGATTGGGGGATAGAAGAATGTGGGGTGCAGGAGGAGGCTGAACTGGTCCGGGGCATGTAGGGTGCAGAAGGACACTAGGTGTTAAAGGGAATGTGGGATGCAGAAATTGATTACGGCAACAGGGAAATATGGGGTGTGGGAGGGAGACTGAAGAATTGTAAAAGGGAAACAGAGTGGTGCATGGGAGTAGGGATGGCAGAGAATGAGATGTGAGAGTAGGAGACAGTGAGGGAAAGGGGAGGGAAAATATGGAGGCAGGTGAATGTAGGGAATACATGCGAGACAGGAGACTGTGGGGCAGCATGAGGGGGAGAATGAGAATGGGGCAGGAAACTGGATGGGGTGGGGGAGGGAGACAGGATAGCAGGGTTGCCAACTCTAATATTTTCATCAGTCCCGTGAGGGTTAAGTATTTTTTACTCTCCCCCCCCCCCCCCCCAATCTTATGAGAAGTTTCTGACAGCTTGGGACTTCTGGCTGTGCTGTAACAGATGCTGAAGTTCTAACTTCAGCCATTAGATGCTGGTGCTGGGAGTCTGAGCTGCAGGTGTTGGGCTGCAGCCCCAGCTGCTACTAGCAGAGATTGCTGTGCCACTTGCCACCTGTGCAAAATGGTGAAGCAGCAACTTGTGGGGCAGGACTAGGGTGACCAGATGTCCCAATTTTATAGGGACAGTCCCAATATTTAGGGATTTTTCTTATATAGGTGCCTATTACCCACCACCCCCATCCCAATTTTTCACACTTGCTATGTGGTTATCCTAGTCAGGGTGACTAGAAAGACTGAGGGGCAGGGAGCTGGCTCAGGGTCAGCAGCTTGTACCTGCCCCCTCATTCCCCGCTTACTGCTGCAGTGTGGTGAAGAACAAGGCTTAGCAATTGAGGGGAATGAAGGAGAGAGAAGGGACCCAGGAGTGTATGCACCTCTCCAACTTGCAGTGGGTCAGCTCCAGCCCAGTTGTGCTTGTCTCCTTCCACCTCTTCGGCTGCTGGACTAAAAGGGCACAGACAGTGTCCTGAGAGGCACAGTCCAGAGTGTAAGGGGATGGAGCTGGCCCGTGACTGTTTTGAGGAGGGAGAAGGCAGGGGACGGTGGGAGGCTGTGTACATTGGAAGGAAAGGCTTGAGCAGGAGGCAGGACCAGGGAAAGGAGCTGTCAGTATCTCTCTTGGCAGAGAGAGCTACTCAGGGGACAACATCTAAGGAAAGGTACCTGGCTAGGGGCCAGTGTCCAGGCAAGAAAGAGAGCAGCAGAGAGGCAGGGGAGAGCTAGTGAAAGTTCCCTGGACAGGAGCAGAGGAGAGGCTTGGGAAGACTGCACAGGGACATAGGTGCTGGAACTAGGGGTGCCACTGCACCCCCTGGCATGAAGTGGTTTCCATCACATACAGGGTTTACTGTTTGTATAGTGGGGATGCTGAGAGCCACTGAATCAAACTGTTCCAGCTCCCGGGCACAGGGATGCATTGGTCAGACATGAAAGGGAGATTGCCGCCCTTCTCCCCAGTGTATTTTCGGTATAAGTCTGGTGATTTTCCTGAACTGCCCACAAACAAAAGGTTGATTCCCCCTCCGTGATCAAACAAACCCCGTGCAATTTTTTTTTCTTTAAAATCTCGACTTCAAAAAATGCAGCCGGTGTCCCCGGGTTGACAATCCCGCTCGCCTGGGGATGTAAGGGTTACAACCATAGAGCACAGCCCTAACCCATTGCCTACTGAGAAGCAGGAAGTATTTACAGGCAGGGGGACAGGACGGGGGAGGTTGGCGGACTTCAGAAATAAGGGACTTCCTATTCCCAGCAGTCCATTACCCTGGAGCCTGTTGTCTGCTCCTTGGGGCTGGGGGAGCATCTAGTATCCAAAGTGCCTGAACCCCTGCTTCCAATGATCCCTCCCCCGCCCTTGCCAGAGAGCATAAGGGAATAAAATACACCTCTGTGCTGCCAGTGGGAGAGGTGAGTCAGGGATGGGGGAGCCTACCATAATGGGAGAGGGTGGAAATGCAGCTCCAGAGGAGTGTGGCGGGGGAGAAAACAACAGCTGAGAGGCAAGAAATTGCTGCCCGTGAGGCTGGGCTGCAGCAGAAAGGGGCTCGCCAGGCTGGGCTGTGATGACTGAGAAAGGAAAGAAAAAACAAACCAGCCAGCTCCGAGCCAGCACACGGGGGTCTGTGCGGCTGCAACCCGGCAGGGTCCCCCTCCGCTGTCACAAAGGCTGGGGCTAAATAGCGGCATGTGGGTTGCCCGAGAGTCCCCTGGGGGATTTGTTCTTGTTGTAGCCCCAAGTGCTGTCAGTTAACTGTCTGCGGGAGAGAGGTAATTGGGGAGGCAGGAGAGAGGGCTAAATGCTGGTTTGGTGTGTGTCCCTCTGGTAGGTGCCTTTCCCTGCAGATCACTGCTAAACTCGATTGTTTTTATTGGTCTAGGAACGCTGATGTGAGGATCCCAAGATTCAGCCCCCTCTGCTTTTTCCGTGTCTCTTCCTCCTCTCTCTGTTTCTGCTCTGTGCCCTCAGCAGATCTTGCTCCCGTTTTTTATTGCCTCTGTCTCATCTCTCTACCCTCACCTCCCTCATCTTTGTCTTCACTATTCTACTTCTTCTCTTCCTTTTCCCTTTCTCACTTCCCTCGTCTTAAAATCTTTATGAGGACAGGCTCAGTGCTTTGTGCAAGTGAAAGGGTGTCGAGGGGGACCGAACACATCCCATGATACCAGTGAGTGGTGAATTGGGATTTATGAACAGGGGGTACTGTGAGAGCCAGTGTACAGTGTCCATGAAGGGAATTCTTTCCCATTCTTCTCAGAGCAGGAGATAAGAGATGTCAGGCAAGGCTGCTTCCAGTGTAGCTGCCTAATCCCGTTGTTTGCAGTCAAGGTGTCTGCTTCATGAGCCTGGATTCTGTGGGACTGATACTTCTCTCACTTACGCCAGTGTAAATCCAGGGCAACTCAGGTTAAATCACTGGAATGACACTGGTGTAAATTAGAACAGAATCAGGCTCTTGCCCTCTTTCTCTGAGGGTCTGGGCTACTGGAGGAAATATGTGGGGAGTGGAAGAGAGATAGCGCAGAACAGTCACAGATGCAGATCAGGACTGAGGTGTGGTGCCAGAGCTCTGAGTCTATAGGAATAGCAAGGGGAGGCATAGGTCCGAAATGAAATGCTTTGGCAGAGCAGTGAAGAGAGGGAGAGCCCAGGACTGGAACAGCAGGGGGTGCTGTATGTCTGGATTCTCATTCTGTTCCAGCAGGTGATGGGAACATGAATGAAAATGAGGAGGAGGATCCTCAGCAGGAAGGTCCCAAGCCAGTGGAAGCCCCTGGGACATTATCAGACTTTTTCACAAGGGAAGCTTTTCCGAGTTCTGACCAGGACAAAGCCTGTGAGAGGCAGGAGATACATTCTCCAGAGGAGAGACAGGAAAAACCTATTCGTTGTGAAAGAGGCTTCAGGAAACGCAAAGACACCATCGTTCACCAGAAAACTCTCCTGGGCGAGAAGCCTTACATCTGTATTGAATGTGGGCAGAGCTTCAACCGGAGCTCGGACCTCATCCGCCATCAGCGGATCCACACTGGCGAGAAACCCTATGTGTGCACCGAGTGCGGGAAAAGCTTCAGCCGGCGCTCGCACCTTATCCAGCACCAGAGAATCCACACGGGGGAGAGACCCTACCAATGCAAAGACTGTGGGAAGAGCTTCAGCCAGAGCACGCATCTCGTGCAGCACCAAAGGAACCACACCGGAGAGAGGCCCTATGTGTGTGCAAAATGTGGGAGGAACTTCTACCAGAACTCGGGGCTCATCAGACATGCCAACTTCCACACGGGTGAGAAGCCCTACAAATGCCCCGAGTGTGGGAAATGCTTCAGTGACAGCTCCAACCTCATCGCGCATCAGCGGCTGCACACAGGGGAGAAGCCCTACAAGTGCACGGACTGTGACAAATGCTTCAGTGAGAGCTCTAAGCTGATCATCCACCGCCGGACCCACACAGGAGAGAAGCCCTACATGTGTCCTGAGTGCGGGAAGAGCTTCAGCCAGAGATCCCACCTTGTCCAGCACCGCAGGACGCACACAGGAGAGAAACCCTACAAGTGCTCCGAGTGTGGGACGAGCTTCAGCGACAACTCCACCCTGATCCGGCACCGCAGGACGCACACTGGGGAGAAGCCCTTCAAATGTGCGCAGTGTGGGAAGAGCTTCAGCCGCAACTCGTACTTAGTGTCGCATCAGAGAGTGCACGTATGGTAGGGAGCAGCAGTGGTTCGGTCCCTGGGCAAGTATGGTGCCATGAAGGCACATGAAACATCTGCAGCAATTGGGAGTGTGGGTGACTGAATCAAAGCGGAGGGTGGAACACATTCCTGGGATGACAGGCAATGTTTGGGGTCACAGAGTGGTGGGAGCCAAGGAGCTGTGTGCTGGGACATGGATCAGTCTGGAATCTCAGACCTGGCAGGTGATGAAATGACAGGGTCAATTTTCCTGTTTGTTTTGGTTTGTTCTTTTTTAAATTATTTTATTTTGAAGTGAAGGTAAAAATGCCAAGCGGTAATTTGGCTCTGGGTCACATCTGCAGCTTATAAGATTGTGGCACACAACTTGCAGCCTACTGGTGACACCTCAGTTTTGCAGAATTTAAGTTCTCTCTGTACCTATATTAAGTTTGTAGCCCTTACAGTTGTGAAGAATGACTTCAGAATGTGACCCAGCATAGTGCTAATAACTGCCTGCATCTGCAGGCAAATAAGCGGGAAACCACTCCAAGAGATGCCCTGCTCCTCTGTTTAGGGTGCTAACATTGAAGACTCACCATGAAACATTTAAATTGTAATATATTTGACTGTTTTACTGCTAGTTATTTTAGCAAAAGTATCAAGCTGATGTGTTTATCCAGTGTGGCTGGATATCCTAGAAATTAGGAATAGAGAAGACGTATTAGTTCTGTGATGTGCTTATTATTTCTGTAATTGGCTCCATGGCTTCACAATATCTCCAGAAGGGTGGAGTACAGGTGAGAGCCAATGGAGGGTCTGGGGGGCAGGAGAATAAAGAACTCCTGTGTGTGCTAAAGCTACGGAGCAGATCCAGGAGTTTGAGCAGTTGCTGGCCAAGAAAGCTTGTGAAAGGCTCATTCTGTAGCTAGCTCGGCAAAACTTGCCACTCTCTAAGGGATCAGAACTCTTTGGGAACCTGAAGCCACTTCTGGACTCTCAACAGATGACAAAATATTATTTAAATGTATTTTGGAATATTAAACTTTGACGGGAGCAGGGAACTTGCTTGCAACTCCTGGAGAAGCAGGGACCTTTGTTTCCCGCTGCTCGAGGAAGTGGAGGAACTTTGTGGAGTGGATGCCTTTCTTTGAAGCTGCAGGGGATCTGAGGCTTTTGCTTGCAACTGCAAGTATTTTCCATGGACAACTTCAGACCAATGGGTTTTTGGTTTTGACTTCCCAACAAATGCTCCAGAAATCTGACAGAGAGTCAGACAGATGCTGGATGGATCCAGAAATTCCAGGACTCATTTGCTCTACGTACTTTCAAAGGGCATACATGCTTTTCAATTTGCAGACTCAAAGATTAAGCCAAAATTCAGCTAAAGTTGACTGACTTTTAATGGTCTGATCTTTTCACATCCAAATTTTATGAAGGAAACATACTGAACTTTGGTAAATGCCTGCTGCATGGCTGATCTGACAGCGCTCTAGAATTCAGTGATGGGGGCTGCAGTTTGGGGTAGTTCCAGTGAATGGAACTTTTCTGTTATGAATCTGAAAAAATCAAAACACTGCAGCCAATTATTGGACTCAAGCCAGCAACTCCTAATGCTTGAGACCAACTCAAAGGAAAACCCTGGCATCGAGAATTTGGTCTCAGAGAAGCAATGGCACTTTCCTCACTGAAAACTCCTTCCCCTGCAGTCCTCCGAGCATATGTTGTCCTTCTATGTGCTTTGTACGGTGCTGTGTACATTTAACAGTGCTCTATAAATTAAAAATAACTGTGTGCATTTATTTCTGATTAAAATCTTTATGTAAACTTATTTAAAATTGTATGCAGATTCGGTGTGGTCTTAGGGCTCAGGGCCCATTGCCAGAGCTGCTAAGGTTGTTCACCACTCTTATGAAGACACTATAATCAGTGTCTTTGGAATTTCCTTTGTGCCCCATACTAGATTTATTTCCTCTGTTCATTGCCACACAGCTGAAATCATTAGCTTCCCCACATCCTGTCCTTCCCATAGTGATATAGCTGTCGAAGGGTGATCTGGGCACTGCCATTTCTTTGCTCATGTAGCGGTTACAGTATATGTTCCTCTTCCAGCAGGACTTTAATCTCTACCGGGGGCACAGAGCCTCATAAGCAGAATGCAGGAGAGAGAGGTATGTGTAAATTTAAGAGGTCGCTGAGAGCTGGAAAGCCTGCTCCCAAACTGCTGGATATATGGACTCTTGCAGACAGGAGTGAAGCCTGTCTCCTCCCTAGTAGCTTCTTTACAATTTGTCTCCTCTCTCTGGATCATATTTAGCTACTATTGGAAAAACCTTGGTAAATGGTAAATTTTCTCATTTAAACAGAAATTCCATGGAGATTGTCTAATCTTCTGGCCATACCCCATCCCAGGTTTCGGTTCCTATCAGGTGCCCAGGTCCTCCTGTCAGTTTAATGGTGCTTTTTAGAATACTCTAGCTTCCTATTGTGCTACCGGTGCTTAGAAACCACAGTGTTACCAAGGCACCTTAGAAGTACCTAAAACAGATTGATTAATGGATTAATAATGTCTCTGAAATAAAATCTCTCTTTCCAATACTTTCTGCTTTCCCATCTTTCCCCCCCCCCCTCTGAGTGAGATCTTGAACTCCCCAGTTTCATGGCCCCAGTAGGGACCAGATTTGGAAATGAATGGGTGTGACCTCTTCACAGCGAGATGGGTTTTGTCTAGCACAGCTGCCATGTAACCCATATAAAAACCTGGAGATGATGGGAATTCTTAGGATTTGTCTTCAGTTTCATCTAATCTATCTGTGTGAATCTAAGATAAAAGCCCAGAGCATGAAACAACCGACTCACTCCCTTACAGGAGTGGCCGAGTGGTGTAATCTCATTCTAGAATAATCCACTGTGAGATGAACGTGGCTACAGCAGAGCTGAGGTCTGAGTAGGAGGGGTTATTCCCACAGTCCTGGCAGCTGGTGGTTTGAGATCTGTTCTGTAATTCCTCCTTAGAATAGCAAATGTGACAGAGAGTGCTACAGCGAAGGCTGAAATGCAATTTCCATTATAACCCCATCTCTCGGTATAGCTCATAACTTTGGCAAATTCCTTTTGGGTTGAAATTTTCTATGCTTGGTCTCAGGAGCCATCAATGAAGTGCGTGCATACAAAAAAACAAACCAACCCACCCCAATGGAACACACTGAGCCAGATGAATAGCTTCCCCTTTGCACCAACTAGGCTAGCCCAAAGGGGGCCGTAAAGCAGCCATAAACCACACCCAGTGAATATGCCCAGTGCATGGGGGCTCTGTGCCTCCTCTGCAGGAGTCCTTCTTCCTCCAGAGTAGAGGGCATCCAGGATGTGTCAGGGCATGTAAGAGGCAGAATGGAAGAGAGATGGAGCAGATCGAAGGCAGAGGGGGATGTAGCCAGGGGAAACTGGCCCTTTTCCCTGCTGTCACAAACCCTATAGGGGCTTTTTTTAAAAAACAAAACACTGAAACAAGAAACTGCACACGCTTCTCCCTCTGGGGAGAGGATGAGGAACAAACACATGACATGTATTAGTCACATTGCTTAATGCATTGCTGGAAGGTGCTCAGATAACACAATGATGAGTGTGGCATAACAACCTGAATAGAACAGAACTGCAAATTGGAGCTGCCCTAGCTTACGCTGTGGGGCCTTTTTAAATTGTGTAAATAAAAGTACAGTGGGATTAAGTAATTTGCCTCAAGTCACACAGTCTGGACTCTTAGGATCAGACCTAGTCCACTAGATCACAGTGCTAGTGCACTCCCATGGGCCAATGCAGGCAGTCATCAGTTACAGCAACCCAAACTGGCCCCGGGGATCAAAAGTGTGTAAAGGGGGTTCACAGTCACCTTTGCCCCTACCCCCTTGGATCCTGTGCAAAGCACAGCTCAGCGAGCCCGGAGGGGCTGGCTCAATGTGTTCCATGGACCCAGGGCATGTCACTAAATCTCTGTTTTAGCCATCCCAGGGCAATTCTGTGCGTCGCACACCACATAGAGCCCAGTGTCTGAAGCCACAAACGCAGAGCTGGTCAACCTCTCATCAGTCACTTCCTTCATTTTGTGCAACAGCGTGGAAGCAGAATGTTATTTATAGAAACTGTGCATGCACTGTGTAGCATCTGACTGGGGATGCTGCTGCCGCACTGAGCCTTGCTTCCTGTCCAGGTTTCCTCCCACAAACTTGTCCATTGGTTCCCCTGAAACATACAGTGTAAGTGGTCTAACCACAGGTACCCTTTTGTGTGTCATGTTTAGGAACTACCTTCCCACATGCCTCCTGAAGTCAATGAGTGACAGTTAAACAAATGTCAGTTTTGCATTGAGCTAGATAAGCTCCAGGGTACCTCTGTGAATCATTTGTCAGATGGGAAAACTGAGACACAGGGCCACACCCTGGGGCCCAGTACAGCTTGTTTGCTGCACTTCAACAGGGCAAAGCAGGCCAGCTTTAAGGGCAACTAAAAGGTCAACTGAGGATTCCCCTGCTGTAGAGGAATCTCCAGGTGGCATAGAACCAGTGTTGGGAGCATGAGGGCACTATCAGAACGTGTTACGCCCCCATTGGCCAATGCAGGCAGTCATCAATTACAGCAGCTCAAACTGGCCTCAGGGATCAAGAGCACGTAGAAGGGATTCACAGCCACCTTTGCCCCTACCCTAATTTAATAATGTGCCAGATCCTCTGGTTGGAAGTCTGGCTGAACTGGAGAGACTACCTGCAGGCAAGGGGGTTCCCCAGGGATTGTAGAGCTGATGTAAGCCTTTCCCCGATAGCTCCTGCATAGAGGGGGGTGGGCTGGAAGGCATAGCCTCAGGGAAGAGGATGTGACCACAGTGCTGCTGCACTCCAGCTATTGGCTGCTGTTTTAGTTCCTGAAAGGCTGGTGCAGCACAGCACTGCATAAATTAGAGAAGCCCTGAGGCTGCTCTACCTTACACTGGGAGCCATGCAGATGCC